ATTAAACAAACTTAGTATTTAAACAAAAATCAGAAAAAATATATCGGTTCAGATTTAAGCACCAATAAACTCATGTTTTAAATAGGCATGAATGAGTAATTGCTTTCAACTTGCTGCCTTTCTATAATGGTTTCTCTTCAGGCTAGAAAGTGTTATTTTGATAAAGTTGGTTTCTAGACCAGTGGAGCAAGAGGTTGTTATAAGGCATATTGTAGCTACACGCTTCCAATTTTTTGATGAAGTCTCTCTTTGTGTCTTCGTGTACACAATGGAGAAACATATACAACAGAGACTAGATGATTCTATAACTAGGAATACTTACAGTTCAAAACCAGAAAGGACTGAATCGTGGATTTGTGTTGACATGACGTACAGGGTACAGTGGTGTGGCTCATGTCTGACCTTGGCCTGTTTGATATTCCTACCAGTGACTTTTAACAATGGAGATAGAATACATGTTTCAAAACGTAAAAATTGGCCAGGCTCAGTGACTCACACCTGTAATCCAAGCACTTTGGGAGGCCAAGGTGGGTGGGATCACCTGAGATCAGGAGTTCAAGACCACCCTGGCCAACATGGAGAAACCCCATCTCTACAAAAATATAAAAATTAGCCAGGCATGATGGCAGGTGCCTGTAACCCCAGCTACTTGGGAGCCTGCAGTGGGAATTGCTTGAACCGAGGAGGTGGAGGTTGCAGTGAGCCAAGATGGTGCCACTGCACTCCAGCCTGGGTAACACAGTGAGACTCCATCTCAAAAACAAAAACAAAATGTAAAAATTACCCAAAGTTAGGAAGAATGGCTAATTCATTGGTTTTAAGAGTCAGAATTTTTAAAGATTTTGATGAGACTTTACAATGGGCTTAAACTAACAGGAAAAGTCTTTGACAGATATGAAAGGAAAAAAAATACCAATTGGACAGGTACATAGTGGAAGAATCATGGGAAACAACCCAGAACAGAATGCCCAGCACGACGTTAGTATTTTGTGGTGTTAACAAGCTCTGTAAGTTTAAAAAGAATGAAGGCCTCAGGATCATTGAATAATATGTGGACATTCTGAGGTCAATCAAACTTTAACATGTTTCTTTACTGGTGACCGTCTCAGTTTTTAATATATTAACATGCATTAAGATTTTTAAGAGGTGGATATAATGTGCAATGTTTCTTTAATTAATTTGACCTTCTCATGAAGCATTTTGCTGGACATGCTGGGAAACGTTGACTCAGAGATTTTAGTTGAGTAGGGACCCTATGTGAGCCTACAGTACAGAACAAAAGAAAATAATCCAATTACATTGTCTGGAGAAATAGAGGTACCATTCTTAGCTATCATATTGGAAGAATCAGTTTCTAAATGACAGTGGCAAACAAAGCTGTGTCGTATGAGGGAGAATAGGAATGAAGAGGCATAGGCAAATAAGACAGCTCTGGTAAAATATTTAAAGGGCTGTTCAAAGACCAAGAACTTCTGGGTTGCTGGTCAGATGGATAATAATAATGATTGTAATTATGACAATAATAATATTGTTAAATAGCAAACATAGTTCTTGCTATGTGTCAGACATGGTTCCAGTTACCTTTCATTTGTTGACTCATGTAATCGTAAAATAACTCTATGAGGTAGGCACTATTAATATTTCCACCTCGTAGCAGAGAAAAATTAAGACACAGAGAGAAAGTTATTTTCCTAAGGTCACACAGCCAGTGAGTGGCGAAGCTGAGATTTGAACTCTAGTGGGTTGACTCTGGAACTTCAATATGTGGTACTGATGGATTTCAGCTCAGTGTTGATTAAGCACTTTTGACAGGGGTGTCTGGACATAGGTGTTCAAGATCCCCTTCTAAGGGTGTTGCTTAGCTCTCTCACATGGGTGGTATAGTGGCTGTAAGCACACACTGGCACGAGTAAGAGTTTGGACTCAGTAAATGCTGATCTTGGACTCAATGAATGCAGAAAGTTTCTGTGGTGCCATGCCAAAAGGATGAATGGACTTGCATGATCTTTTTCATCTTTAGATTCTGTAATTTCTTTTAAATCTTTTTTCCCACAAAGTACCTCTTTGATGGAACTCTACACAGAGAAAAGTACTCAGCAATACCTTTTTAAAATTTAACTTTTAAGTTCAGGGGTAAATGTCTAGGTTTGTAATGAGGCAAACTTGTGTCATGGGGGTTCGTTGTTCAGATTTTTTTGTCACCCAGGTATTAAACCTAATACCCATTAGTTATTTTCCTGATCTTCTCCCTCCTCCCACTCTCCATCCTCTAATAAGCCACAGTGTGTGTTGTTCCTCTCTATGTGTCCATGTGTTCTCATCATTTAACTCCCACTTATAAGTAAGAACACACAAAATTTGGTTTTCTGTTCTTGCATTAATTTGCTAAGGATAACAGCTCCATCCATGTTCCTGCAAAGAACATGATCTCATTTTTTTTTCTAGCTGCATAGTATTCCAAGGTATATACGTACCACATTTTCTTTATTTACCATTGATGGGCATTTAGGTTGATTCCATGTCTTTGGTAAACAATAGCATTTGATCAGAAGTTTGAAATGATACCATTTTGCAGCTAGGAAATTCAAAGTTAAACAGCTCTATAGTGTTGCTAAATATAGAATTAGGGGTAATAACTGGAGTACTGTTGATCAGTGTTATAAGCCAAATGACCTGTCAGTCTAAACCCTCCTGCCTTTCTATCTGAAATGTGGATATATCCTTTATTAGCAAAGCACATTACAAGAGAAGCAACTTGGATTTGAAGCCCAAATACCCACTACTTGTGTGATACTACGTATTTCCAGGTCATAGATTCAACTAAAATTGGCTGTGGAATAAGTAATGCTTCTTGGTTCTTGGCAAAAGTAAATGAAAATCATCTCTGGAGAAAGCACTCTTATTCTAGGACTCAAAGTATCTCCAGAAAATATTTGTAAGGTCAATTTAGAGCATAGTAAAAAACATATTAAGCATATAAGAAATCAAGGTGGAGAAAGAAAGAAATCAAAGTGAATGAGAACCAGAAGAAACTGCAGACCCAAGAAGCAGACCCACAATAACATGGTACTCCAGAATTACTAAACTGAGATTATTTTTAATATTATGTCTATGCCATTAGAAAAATAAAAAACAACATTGAAAAATATCTACAGGGAACCACAAACTTGAGAAGTTTCCTTAAAAATGACCAAGTAGTATTTCTAGGTATCAAAAGTACGATAATCAAAATTTTAAAATATATGGGTTTACAGCAGACTGGCAAGAGTAATGGATACCCAGATAGTAAGGCAGAAGGAATTAATAAGAATGAAGCACAGAAGTATGTTTTAAAAAGATGTGGGCAGAGAGAGGGGAACTAGGAAAGGCCTATTCAGAGAAATAGAGATTGAAGAAATCTAACATTTATCTAACAGATTTCTGAAAGTAGAATAGAGAGGGAATGGAAAAGAGGCAGTATTTGTTGAGATTATGACTGAGAAGATTCCAGAGCTGATTAAAGACTGTAAATCACATCTTTAAGAAGTCCAGCGAACCCTAAGCAGTCTAAATCAGATCCTAGAAACACAGCACAAGATAGGAAAAGGATAAATTATCTTTAAAGGAGCAATAGTCATCTTTACTGCTGACTTCTCAACAGTAACAGAGATAGTGAGATGAAAGTGGGGTAATATTTCAGTATTCAAAAACAAAATAAAACCCCAAAACCTTTCAATCAGAAATTTTATACTTGGGCCGGGTGAGGTGGCTCATGCCTGTTAGCACTTTGGAAGGCTGAAGCAGGCAGATCATTTGAGGTCAGGAGTTTGAGGCCTGCCTGTTCGGCATGGTGAAACTCCATCTCTACTAAAAAGACAAAATGTAACCTGGTATGGTGGCATGCACCTGTAGTCTCAACTACTTGGGAGGCTGAGGCTTGAGAATCGCTTGAACCCAGGAGGCAGAGATTGCAGTGAGCCAAAGTCATACCACTGCACTCCAGCCTGGGCAACAGAGTGAGACTCAGTCTCAAAAAAAAAAAATTATACTTAATGTAGACAACTATCAGGAATATGGATTTTTTTTAAAGGCAGCTATTTTGAGACAAAACCTGAGAAATGTACGACCAATGGCTAAAAGAAATTCTAAGGGACATATTTCAGGCAGAACTAATCCCAGATGGAAGATTTGAGATGAAAGGACTCAAAGAAGAGCAAAAAGGTAGTCAATCTATCTAACAATATAAAAAAATTAAAACAATCCTATAGGGTTGGAAAAAACAAGGTTTAAGTAAAACGTATGAATACACTAACATATAAATCAAATGGTGGTATTTTGCGATTACTGTACTATCTGGGGTGAATGGTATTTCTTATATTTAGACTTTGAAAGAGAGAGAAATAGAGAGGCAGACAGAGAATCAACAGGGCATCGTGAAAACAGTGCAAAGCCAGGAGATTTGCATTCTATTATCAGCTCTGCTGCTGGTTGTATGGCCTTGAAAAAGCTACTTTTCTGATGTGCAAATCAGTTTGCTTGTCTATAAGATGATGCTCTGGAACCAGATGAGTTTTAAAGCCCCTCATGATTCTATGAGAAATAGATTCTCTAGAAAAAAAATCAGTTGTCCCCCTCCTTTGAAATTTTATCAGTAAACACCTGCATTTCACTTTTGGCTAACTTTTACCTATCTGCTCAAAAATTAGAGTTAAATATAGTCTTGCTCAGGTGCGTAGTTTGCTTTACCTTTCTTGTTTGTTGGTTTTGTTTCCTTTTGTTGTCATCTAGTACCCAAAAAGAGTAATAGCAGTTTACCAGAACCTTAGGAGTAGGTGTCTCTTTGGATGTTAGGGAGCATTTGCTGAAACAAGCTGTGAAAAGCCAGCCTAGCTTTGCAACCATTGTTCGTTCTTTCTTTTTTGTTTAATTTATTACCTGATCTGATATACACCTCCTTTGCCATCTCACCTTCTTTTCTTTTATCCTTTTGCCCTCTTTCTCTCTCCCTCCTGTCTTTGCAGGCTAATAATAAGCCAGAGATTGAAGCAGCCCTCTTCCTAGACTGGATGAGACTGGAACCTCAGTCCATGGTGTGGCTGCCCGTCCTGCACAGAGTGGCTGCTGCAGAAACTGCCAAGCATCAGGCCAAATGTAACATCTGCAAGGAGTGTCCAATCATTGGATTCAGGTATAAGGAACAAAAAAAAGTCACTTTTTTCTAATCATTTTTTCCACCTTTTTACAACTTGACCTTTTATCTCCTGTGCCAGTTGCTGTTAGTTCATCCCTCTCCAAAGTGGGAGACAGGGTGATGGGGTTGGAACATCGACCGCTCCTGACGCCCTCCTGATTGCTGGGTTGTTTTGGTGGATCTGACTTATTAGGCTGGTGTCCGTTTCCACCTTCACTCTTCAGCTCTTCAGAGCCACATTTTTGGTTGAGCAGGACAAAGTGTGTGTCTTTGCGGAGGTATTACAGATGAACTGTACCTCCTCCCTCCTGGAACCAAAACATGTTTATCTTCTTTCCTTTTTCACGGTCTTTTCTGTTTATAGAAACTCTCCAAGAATCAGTTATAAACCTAGGAGATCATTCTATTCTGGGAGGAACCATAATGTTAGCTCAGTCTCTCATTCACTCTACCATTTTTTTTCCCTCAAGTAACGAATTGTTTTCAGCTTCCTAGAACTTGCTTCTGTATCTGTGACTCTGATTACATTCATTGAATAGTATCCTAATGAACTTCTTAAGGAATAAAATGTATGCAAGTAAATGGAAGATTCACAAAGCAGCTAAAAAAAATAAGAACAGTCCTTATAAATTTATAAGTGAAAGAGATAGAAAACATAGCAAGTTAGTCTGATATTCTTAAAATATGCTCTGATATTTTAAGAATATCAGACTAACTTGCTATGTTTATGGAAAACGAGGCTAAATAAATCTTCAGCCTTGTTGATCTGTTCGGGAAGACAGAATATTTTTTAATGAATTAATCTCATTTAACAGTAATCCTACATCCTAATTCTGAAACTGTGATGTACTTAAACGTGTGGATCAACATCAAGGTTTCTACAGCGATGAATAAGCCACCAAGTTGTCAACTAGTTATGTGGTCTCTGCCTGTGCAGAATCCACTTAGCAGCTAAGTAAACACTCCTCTCCAGTTATGTGTGAACTGGTTTTGTTACTTTATTTTCTAATGACTACTTTGTGCTATTGCGTGCTTTTTACTCATAGTGCTCTTTGACTGTTGGTGTTTATCCTTCCATAGTCATGCTGTTTACAAAGAGGTTTTACAGAAACTTTTAGAGGTTTCTGAAGCTTAGACAACAGTGAGTAGGCAGTGCTTGCAAAGGATGCCTTCTTTCCTTCCTGGTTTTTTGGCAGGTAAAAATGATGCCATGCGGGTGGGGAGTGGGGAAGGGAAGCCGCAAGTGACTGCGTTGGATTTCTAAGCTGTCTTTTCTCTGCTTCCTTAGCTAGTGGGCTTTGTATACAGGGGACAGTTTTATAAAATAAAAAATAAGAGGCCGGGCACGGTGGCTCAAGTCTGTAATCCCAGCACTTTGGGAGGCCGAGGCGGGTGGATCATAAGGTCAAGAAATTGAGACCGTCCTGGTCAACATGGTGAAACCCCGTCTCTACTAAAAATACAAAAAATCAGCTGGGCATGGTGGCGCTTGCCTGTAATCCCAGCTACTCAGGAGGCTGAGGCAGGAGAAGTGCCTGAACCCAGGAGGCAGAGGTTGCGGTGAGCCGAGATCGCGCCATTGCACTCCAGCCTGGGGAACAAGAGCGAAACTCTGTCTCTAAATAAATAAATAAATAATTGATTAATAAAAATAAAAATAAAAAAGAATGGTTTGAAGGATCTGAAAGAGCATTTTCGCCTTCAGTTCTTTGGCCCCTATCAAATTATATTATTTTAGGACTCAGCACTTCTCATTTCTCCTTTCCTTCTCTTGAAAGAAGGTTGAAATCTAAAAAAGATAGTTTTCCTTCCCTCTTCCCCATACGTGACATAAGAAATATGTTTCTTTGAATTGGCTAAGGTTCTTATCTGAGAAAGCAAAAGGCAGGAGAGTATGAAATATAGAATATCACATTCTGAGAATGGAGTCAATGTACCAACTAGTATTTACAGATTAGGAATTCCTCCATCTAATCCAAGTTTCGTTTTCTCTTGAGGCTTCGGTTATCATTTGTAGGTAACGTAGTGAGGATTTCTGAAGAGACAGAGATAAAAGTAACTGAAGATGAATCATGTCAGTAAATTGGAAAACATTATTCAAGCAAGACTTGTTTTAATTGAAAGTTCTTATTTAAGTTGCTTTTGTCTTATGACATTGCTTTATCTTGACAATTTTCAGAAAATAATTGCTTCAGAAAACTTTTGTCCCTATGTTGGGTTAGGACAGGCATGACATCAATCTGTCTCTTCTGGAAGTTCTTTTAAATTTGAATATTTGGTCTTCAAAAGACTGGAAATTTGCCAGTACCTTCCTACTTAATCTCAAAGAGTTCCTAGTGGAGTTTAAATAAGAGTGGAGTTTTTCTTCCCTCCTTCCATATGTTTATAGGATAATCTTTCTGCCAAAATGTTTTGATAGTGGAGGAGAGGCAGTGGAGAAATCTGGAGGGAGGAAGTCAGTCACTTACCTTGTGGGACTAATGAACATTACGTTCTGCTTCTCGAATTAGAACGCGGTAGAAGGTTTATTAAAGAGTGTTCTTTGGGAATTTGATTTGAAGAAATACATATGTGTTTGTTTTTGCTCTTTATCAGGTACAGGAGTCTAAAGCACTTTAATTATGACATCTGCCAAAGCTGCTTTTTTTCTGGTCGAGTTGCAAAAGGCCATAAAATGCACTATCCCATGGTGGAATATTGCACTCCGGTAAGTTAGATGCCTGTCTGACATGAGAGTTAGTTCAACTGGGATAAATTTCAGTTTTGTACAATACTACAGATCATGTGTAATGCTGTGATTTGTCACTTTCCCAGATGTTCCCCAGATAAAGTGGCTCTCAGCTATAGGCTTTAGGATTTCCCCTATCCCTGGTGCCTAGGGGAGTGCCTGGCACCCATGGAACATGATAGACTCTCAAAAAATATTGTTGGATGAATGAATAGGGTTTTCCTTCTCTGTGCATCGTTGTGTTGAAGATGTTTTCACATTTGTTTTGCACAGCCTTAGAGGTTGTGTGGGGGTGATCTTATGGTCATGAGGCATGTTGAATACAGGGGATGGTTGTAGGTCCCCCTAGATTCATAACCTACCACTTTTAATCAGTATTGCTCACCTATTATCTGTTCTATATACTGACGACATTTTAAAAATCCATTTTATATGCTAACTCTTACCAACTAAATGCTTAGCATTTTACCTTTTAAACTACCCAGTGTAAAATAAGTACTATAATTTGTATACCCTCTATACAGATGAGGACTCTGAGGTCCTGAGGTTAAATAATTTGTTCAAGGTTCTGTCAGTAAAAGTAAAAGCCATCTCCTAAAATGTTGTTTTAGGAAAATGTTAAGTGAACAGAACTGTGAAAAATCACTGGTGAAAGGGCAAGGGCATAGACTTGGTGGCCAGACAGACCTGAGTACAAATCTCTAAGAATTAAAGACAGGCTCCTCTCAGGTTTGTTTACTCTAAAATAAACCTGTCCCTGTTGACTGTAGAGCCACACGTTGTGTTTCTCTCCACTTCTCTAAATTTTACATGCTTGCTATTCAAAATATGGTCTGTTGACTAACAATCATGTGTCTATTGGCATTACCTGGGTGCTTATTAGAAATGCAAAAACCTCAGGCCCCAACTCCTGATGCTGTAAATCAAAACCTGCATTTTAGCAAGATCTGCAGCTGGTTCCCATACACATCAAAGTATGAGAAGCTCTGCTTTAAAGCATCTCTCTCTTCCATCATCAGAGTGATCCTCCCAGATATTTGTCTCTCTCACTTTTATTTCTCTTATAGAGATGGTGAGTGATTCAGAATGTACCGCGTGGTGAATAGACCGATAGTGGGTGAAGCATGCTATCATTATGTATTAAGTAGTTTTTAAAATACCACAAAGTGTAGTAAAATTTAAGGTCACCTTTTTGACCTTAAGACCATTTATTTGAGTAGCCTAGTGGCTTGTATGCTCATTTATTTATTATTATAACAATGTGTTGAGGTGTTATTGCTCTTATTTTACTGATGATCAGAGCCTCTGAGAAGTTAGTAACTCACCCAAGTTAGTACATGCCAGGCCTGGTTTCAAAGCCCCATTTGTCTGATTCCAAAGCCTTTGCTCACAACAACACTCTCCTTAATTACCAAACAAGTGCCATGGGGAGAAGACTGGAGAGGTCATTAGTTTTGAAATCATACTGTCCTAAATCTGATCTCACCATGATTTCCCTTTTAGACTACATCAGGAGAAGATGTTCGAGACTTTGCCAAGGTACTGAAAAACAAATTTCGAACCAAAAGGTATTTTGCGAAGCATCCCCGAATGGGCTACCTGCCAGTGCAGACTGTCTTAGAGGGGGACAACATGGAAACGTGAGTAGTGGCAAAAGCAGAACACACTCTTGTTTGATGTATATCTGATCTCTCAGCTGAACACTCTCCTTCACTCCCAAATGCAAACAGTCTCTTCTATTTCTTTCCTTTTATTTACGTTAGCTGAAAAGAGAAAAATAAGGGGATGTCCAGTTGCCATTTTCCCACATGACTTGACAATTTCTTTTCCCAAAAGTTAAACTTTATCTCACGGGAAAAAAAAAAAAAAGAAAAATCACAACACAATACAGCCACTAATTGCCTTACAAGCCTTAAAAGAAATACGGGACTGTTTACAAATGAGTGATTCCAGTATTTCATTTGGGTTTTCCTCTCTCACAAATCAGTAAATGTGTGTCTTTTTGTATCTGATTGTGTGGTCATATCGAGTCACTTGTTTCTACTCAAGGGAAAATATAATCACAGGAAACTACTTCACAGTAAGTAGTAATGATTCTCACGATCAAACGGATGATGTCTTCACCTCTTTTAAACCTCCTCCTCTTTTTTGCCGTAACTCTGATGGCAATCACACACTGTTTTCCTTTTAAATCACTTTACACCTTGGTTTGGCTATTGCTTTCCATGGTTCATACTTAATTGGCTGGATTTTATTTATTTTGACCTTTCAGTAAATTTTTTTGCGGCTGAGTTTGCGTGTGTCTCTCTTCACCACCTCATTTTTTGTTTTGCAGTCCCGTTACTCTGATCAACTTCTGGCCGGTAGATTCTGCGTGAGTACTTTTGCTGAAGGGTGCTGCTGCTATCACCAACACATTTGCTCGCTTGGTTTTCTTTTGTTCTCTTTTTTTGTTTTGTTTTATTTTATTTTACGGACATATTAATCTCCCTTCCTTCGTTTCAGTTTTATTTCTTGTCTTGATGAGACTTTGAAAGTACCATCTACACTGATCAGGAGAATCAGAGTGGGCTTTTTGGTTCCTCCACCAGGTGAAATTCAAACCAGCAGAAATCCTGGCTTGAATTCACATTATAATCAAAGCAGTTATTGGAGTTTTAGTTGTATTCCTGGGAGACATGATATATATTTCTTCATATAAAAGCAAGGAAGAAACTTCTGATTACATAATAACATTCTTTAGCCATACTCCTTGAGATTCTATGCTTTTTAGAATTTTTACGGCCTAAATGGACTATTAAGTATCAGCAGGATTTGTTTTAAAGTATGATACTGAGTTTGGTTGAATAATTTTAATGAGGTGTGTGGACTGCTTATCAGGTTATGCCATGCTATTTGATTAATCATTGTATACAAGGGTTTCTAAATTTTGAACTAAACTCACTTTGCTCTCCTCTCCAAACTAAATATTCAGCTCATTAACAATTACATATTTGCTCTAGGAGGAAAGTGTAGTATAATCTGTTATTACTATTGGTGTGTATTAATAACGCTAAGGTTGGATACCAGCAGATGACTTATCTTAGAGTTTATAATGTTAGAAAACTTTTTGGGGCCTGTGATTTATATATTAGTAAACATTGTGCCTGTTTTAAAACTATGTCATGTACGTTTGTTATAACAAACTTGGTATTTCAAAATATACTTTATTAAAATATTTGTTGAAAATCAGACGGCTCTATTATATATAAAGAGGAAATGACTAATTGGAAAGAGAGGCTTACATAAGAATTTGATTTCTTTTTATTGAGTCTTTTTTATTGTTCCACCATGTAATTTAATTTAAACTAGATCCTTTTTTTAAAACCCTGTAGTGATAAATACAAATTATTAATTAAGTTTATTTTCAGTCTTTATGGGCCTAAAGGAAGTGGAAGGCTTCCTTTTCTTTTTTAAAACTGTATTATTGTGGCCCTTAGTTTTGAGATATGGTAGCTTAAAATAGTATATTCTCTGATTTATTTCATTATCATGCTTAAAGAACTTCGGGAGTTATTTAGATTGAATTATGTCCTCTGCCTCTTGGTAATTGTTTTTCCTAAGTCGGGTAGTCTGTTAGAAAAGTTACAGCCTTTCAAAAATAAGAAACTTTTAAAGAGTTGATACACTACAGTTTCAGCTTGATTGGATCCTGATAAGTGAATGGATTTACTCCATGTTGAAATAAGTTTAATCAAGTAAGAAATCCAAAAGACAAGTATGCTGAAGAACAATTCTTACAAATACATAGATAAAAATAGCACAAAGTAATAAATAGGGTAATTAAGAGTTCCTTGAAAGTCAAAAAGGAGCTACACATAAGCTAATGGAAAAAAAAAATTACGACAATCAGTTTAAAGTAACTTACTGTAAGTAGAGGATTTTGTCTTTCTTAAATGTTGAAACACTTTAAAATTAATAACATGTTTTATTTAAGTATCTTTTCTTAACAACTAAAGCACACCCCCCAGTTTGCTTTTTTATAAAGAGTTAGACTATTCAGAAAGAGTGGGAAATTCTCATTTTGAGGAAGAAAACAAACCTAGCAGCCTAACGTCTATGTTTTCGTTAACAGCAGTAATTGTATTTAAAGTATTTATTCATAGGATTATAAATACTATATTAAATATATTACAGAGTCATCCTATTCGGGCATAAGAACCAGGTCCTAACATGTTTTATTTTGCAAGAATTTTATCTTATGTTAACAAATCCTGTGATGATGACAGTATTTAATCCATTTGAGATGGATCACAGAATTAGAAAGTTTCCAGAGATAACAGATTTTTTGGTTTTCCTTAGACTAAACCCTTATTTGCTTGTGTCTGTCACATTATTTTAAACTAAAGCTAGCATAGGCCTTTATATTGTTTGTTCCTAAGTGAGCCAGTCAAACAATATTCTCTGAGTGATTATGCATTGAAACCTAAATGAATGTCAACTGATTAATGGAGTTTTCATAAAAGATAAGATGGTGGTGGGTGGGATGGAATTGGCCAAGTGGGTCATTAACTCTAATAGTAAGTAATTCTTTTGGGCATATGGTTTTGTGCTTAGGAAGAGGAAAGGAGGGAACAGTATTATTATCTTCCTTTGGGAGTGTTTTAGAAGGCTTTGCACTTAGTTTTGTTTGTGGACTAAGTGGCTTTGTATTTTTACTAATTCTTGGTTTTTAAGTGATTCATCTCTGACCGGTACTTTCTTTTGGCTCATTTTTTTGGTTTAATAAGTGCCTCTTTTAGTGTATATTTTTTAAGATTTCTGGTTATTATAAGTTCTTGTGCTTATGCATGCTGTGATAGGTGCTATGGATATTAATAAGGAAAATAACATGGAATTATCCTTGAGGCTCAGAATTAAAGCTCTGTATAAGATTTTCTGTATAAAATGGTATTAAAGTGTTTTGGATTTATATGCCTAGTTTTCTTGGTGTACTTAATGCTCCAAGGTCTTAGGCTTTCTTTCTTCTATACACTTCCAGTGTAGCAACTATTATAAGGAAAAACACTACTAATGTATTTTCCCTGATGGTAGGCTTAATACTTATTAAAAAATAAGTAATTGAAAGACTGGTCTGTTCTAAAAGATAGTTCTTATAATAAAAATAATACAAGTATTAAATTTATCTTGATCTGCACTGAAGATTTCAAAACAGCCTTAGCATTTTTTCTAATAATGGGCTATGCCAGAGTTCTAGAAGATTAACAGATTAACTCTCCAAAACTATAGGGAAGATTCACATGGAAATCTTTGGATCTGCTTATTAAATTGAGTAGTCATCCTTTTGTTTTCTCTTGACAATTTAAACGTCTTTGTAACTCATTTCAATTTGATTATAATTACACTTGACCTAGATGACATTGGTTTCATAAATATGACCTTTATCTCTCAGGGAAGAACTCCAGTTCCCTAGTTATTTGCTGTAGTGTGTTGTAATTATCTTACCATAGTATATTAAGAAATATCAATTTCTGGCACATTTGCTATGCAAGCTTAGCTAGTGGTAACTACATATTTTTCTTTTTTAATGTAGGAAGAAACAAACACATTCTCCTTAGTGTTTCAACCAAGTCCTTCAGTGCTGCTTGGACACTGTGCTAAACTAGGGTCCTCTCTGAATTACATTACTGTTGACTTTTGGATTTATGCCTTTACCTAAGGGCTTTCTGAGTCAGCAGAGAAATGGAAGATACCTTCCTTTTGTGCTATTCCAATTAAAACAAAAAGCACAAGCCTAAACTGGTTTTCAGAACAGATGGTTTTTTTTTCCTAAGGTTAATCCAAAAGATACAATAAAAACTTCAAGGATAATTAATAGATCAGATCTGAAAGGATGAAAAAATGTTAACCCTACCAAAACTCTTGTCTATGGAGATCAGAAAAGATAGGTGTTTATATACAAAAAGCATATAGACTATTCCTAATTATCTTTTCTTATTTTCTTACCTGTATTTTAGCACACAGTATCCATAAGAAATATTTCAGTTATCGTGACATTCTATGAAATTTAGCCATTTTTTAAAATGTCACAGTATAATCCTGGGTCATTCTATTTTGTGCTAGGAATTAGTAGTATAGTCTTGCTGCTGAACTGGATGATACACTTCTTTACAAAATTGCATAGATCAAGGCATCTTGATACATGGAGTCTTAAGAAGTCTTGTACTAGAGTAGTCTCTTTGAAGCTAAAATAATTGTAAATGTTTAGGCAAATGTACAGCTTTCATTCAATAAAAAGATAGTCTATGAATGGCACAGGTGTAAACTATTTACAATTTTAAACCACATAGTGCTAACAACATTTTCAGGACTATAGGAAGTAGGAGGACAAAATGCTACCTAGGAATTGTCTCCCCCAGCCATTTCTATGATGAGAATTCCAGAGAAGCTTTTGGCCTCTCTTCATAGCTTTTGATAAAAGCAGAAGTATGAGAAATCATCTCCCAAACCTCGATTGTAAAATACTTGATGATATTCAAGATACGGAAGCAACTAAATGTATACATGATCCGTAGAATTAGAATAAAAGCATTCTAGGCCATGTGTATAACATAACTGTGTGGTGGGGTTTTTTCTCCATTAATGGATGGTATCTGTGACTAATCACATTTTCTGCCTTATAGGCCTGCCTCGTCCCCTCAGCTCTCACACGATGATACTCATTCACGCATTGAACATTATGCTAGCAGGTATGAGACTAGTTGAATGCCAGGCAAATATTTATTGAAATAACTAACCAAGGAAAGCTAACCTATACTATTTTAAACAGACCTTTTCTTTTTTCCCCAAACTTGTCTGATTCCTACTAATCAACTGCCCTCTAACGTGCATGCCATTCCACTGCATGTTGTTTCTGGTCACCAAAAAGAGCGTTAGTCCAGAATAATCTTCCCTAACCCTGGCTTTTAAACATTTCCGGTAGCCTTGCTATTTTTTTTTATACTCAGCACATTTACTAAATTGGCTTCCAAATAGACTAACCTCCTTAGAAAACTGCTAGACCAGACATTCATATATGAAAAAAATGATACTGTATTATGTGGAGAATATGAAAGCATCAGCTTTCTGTTTCTGTATTTATTTTACATGATATACTGTAAAGAGAATAATTAATTTTCCTAATCCATGGACCTTTCTGTCTCACCTTCTTTGTGTTTGAGATGATTTGTATACCTAAAAACTGAATTACTGATTTTAAAATATCTTATGCTTGTTAAATAAATCTGTAAGAGTTTGGTTAACTTTTTTTTTAGTTGTAAAAACAAAAAATCTGTATGATTGCCTAAGGTGAAGAAGATTTTAAAGGTGAAAATTGGTGGCAGAATGTTTAGAGAGCTTACTGTGCATCCATCCTTTGTCAAAATTCTAACTGCTGGACGTGTTTACCAATCGTGAAAAGCATTAGCTTGCTGTGTTAAGTCTGTCATCAGTGGAAAGTAGTAATTGTCTTAAAAGACAAGGGGTAGTGTCAGGTAGGGAGTGCACTTGTTGTTAGGGAAGCTTTTCTTGTGAAAACAAAGACCTGTTCTCAGTGAAAGCAAGATTGATCTGTGGGGAGAAAACAGTGAAATACAACTTTCCTTAGAATTTATATCATAAATATAGTGCTGCTAACTGCCTGTGGTCTACCACACACTGCCTCAAATGGTTAAGCCAACACACACATCCTGTAATTTGAAGGATTCCTTTCTCTTCTTGCCATGATTTATCCTTTAGTTTTCAGGAATGTTCGATTAGGTCTTGAATAGAGTCTAAGAAGTCACATAAGTTTTAATGAGCTTTTACGTTTTTTATCAGGCTAGCAGAAATGGAAAACAGCAATGGATCTTATCTAAATGATAGCATCTCTCCTAATGAGAGCATGTAAGTATCCCATCTCTTTTTACAAAATGTTCCTGACAATGAAATTGCTTTGAGGGATTTAGAGGTAGGATAGCACAGGATATAGGAATTAGCATCATATTCATTTGATCTTTTAAGGAGCCATTCATTTACTTTTTCTTTTTAACTCTTAATGCCCTGGCATGGAATGAGCTCATCCAAATTCTGGCATTAGCATCCAGAGTAGCAAAAATAATTTGCCTTATTCTTATTTAAACTTATTTCATACTATATGATTACAAATCGCAGAGTCCCAAGTACATACAGTAATGCTTAACCTTTGAGCAGACCTGCCAGACATTTAAAGGGATAGGATATTAATTTTCAAGTGATGGCTAAGTACTATTTTCTCCACTCATGGGGAGTGGAAACGTGATCTTGGTATAGCATTGCTATTCACATATGGTAGGTTAGTTGGGGATTTTCCTTCATAAATCCAAAGAAGTCGATTTTTGTGATTTAGTGTCTTCACAAGATAAATTAAGTGAGACAATCTTATGAAGGGTTTCCAGAGGAGATGTACAAATTCAGGTCGCAGTTTGCTAGCAGAGTGATAAGCCAACCCTGTTAAACTTTAAGGAGGGAGAAAGAGTGGTGCTAAAAGCGGCAGAGAACACAGCTATAGCAGGGAAACGGAGGCTTCATTATAGAGTAAGGGCGGTGTTCACAATGCAGAACACAAGGGAACATTGCCATGAACCAAGTAAATGCTGACCAGGGCTTGAGGTAGAGAGAGCAGGCATTGAAGAAAGTATGAAGAAAAAAATAAGAATCTGCCAACTGAATAAATAACATAAAGAGAAGAAATGTAGTCAAAGTATAATGATGCCTTTTTAGTTTGATAAATTATGGATATCTCACCCATCTTATGGCGAATACAGACAAAGGGAAGAACGATGAATTTATCATATGTAGTTGATGTGGCAACACAGAGGCATGCCCAGATGAGAAAAGAACCTTCATAAGGGTTAGGCCAAAAGAAATAGTATCAAAGTAGCATGTATATAACTAGTTATTGAAGACATACGTGAAAATAAATAATCTCATCTGATACATAGATGATCAAGCTAATAATAAAGAATAAGGTCAACACTCAGTCATTTGTATATGACTTAGTTACTTCAAACAAGCAAAAAAGCCTTGCCCCAATCATAACTGTGATGCATTACCTTTCTTAGCTATGGAAAAAAGTATTAATAAGATACTTCAACAAAATGGGTGGCCAAACAACCAAATGTAAATGACTTGAATAATGTGCTTCTTTGGCTCACTGATTTTGATATTAGAAGCTCTAGCACATTCAAATTAATTCAAGTTGTATCTATATAACAGTGGCTGTCATTCATTGACTACCTAAGAGAACAGTAAGAAAAGTGTAGTTACAGCTATAGGTTATAATTAAACACAGGAAGTTCTAGCAGTAAAACTTCAGAATGTGGAATGAGTGGTGATAAATTAGGCCGTAAAACTGCATTTGTTTTGCTTTAAAGTAAAATTTAGCTTTAGCTTATTCTGAGGACATAAAATTTATTTTGACTCAATGTTGGATGGTAAAAAATCATGGCATTTTACGGGCACGTTTGGGGAAGTGGTTTGGTGGATTTGTTGACTTCACTTAAATGTTTGTTTTTAATACCCAATAATTATTTTTAGTCAGCTTTTCACATCTAAACCAGTTAACTGGCTTGACAGTCACAAATCATTCAAATTGGGAGGACTTTTTTCTAAATTTCTGATTTTTTTCAACTTTAAAATTAAGTGGGTATAGAGAGGAGAATATTAGTGTATCATCTTAATGATACCTAAGCAGAAACAAAGAGCTTTAACCTCTCATTATAGACAGAATGAAATTCTTATAACTTGGAAGTAAACAGGTCTTTTAGGAGCTTGGGGTAATGCATTCAGAAAAAAAAGTTTGTCCTGTGTATTAGAGAGTTCCTAGTTTCCAGGAAAGATTGCAGCTGCCTCCCCAGATATAAGCCTTTTTGCCACCTTTTCCCCCGAGATGAGTCATTAAAACTCATCTCGGGGGAAAAGATGAGTTTTAAGGACTCATCTCGGGGGAAAAGGAGGCAAAAAGGCTTATATTTATAAAAAAAAAAAAAAACAAAAAAAACTCTGCCCTAAGGAATGAGATGTGCAGTCTTCATCAGTCACCTTAACGGCGTTTTTCCCCTCAATTTTTGATTTTCTGTCTAAACAGTAATTGAATGAAACAATTATTTATCTTCAGTTTAATTGTTGTTGTCATTCTGCCTCTGTGACTTATATAAGTTAAAACTGGCTTACTGAAGCAATACTTTTTGGTTACATTGCCTTCCACTTAAGAAAATATTTCCTCTGTTCCTTTCAGAGCTGCAAGGTATTTTTTCCTACTCAGTACAACAATAGCGTGGGTTAGTGAACAGATTATCTTGACAGGCTTGGTGGCCAAAGCATTATACAGCCATTATTATGTCTTCTAATATTTTTTAGCTATTGACTAACATCGACGTAGAGTCCCAGTATTTCTGTAATTCTGCCTTTCATTTATCCATGTAAATAGGCCAATCAATTTCATTTGAAAATTTGAGCAAGAAAAAAACACTTTGAATTGTTACCAACAAAATGGTAGATCACAACCTTAACAGTATCAAAAGGTCTTTAGAGCAGGAAAAAGGGTCTAATTAATTGTTAAGAGCAAATAAATGTTTCTATTTTCAAATACACTCCTGAGTCCCTAACCCCCAAAGCAAAATAAGGGGGGGAAAAAACCAAAACCTTTGATTTTATTTTCCAGAGATGATGAACATTTGTTAATCCAGCATTACTGCCAAAGTTTGAACCAGGACTCCCCCCTGAGCCAGCCTCGTAGTCCTGCCCAGATCTTGATTTCCTTAGAGAGTGAGGAAAGAGGGGAGCTAGAGAGAATCCTAGCAGATCTTGAGGAAGAAAACAGGTGAGTTTTCTTTCTAGCTTTGTCATTGGTATGCAGAGTGCATACACTTGCACACATAGAAAAGTGCCAGGAATCTTCACTTAGAGTCATTTTATGTCTAATTGTTTTCTAAAATAATCTGTTTAGCTCCATTTGCAGATTCTTGTTTTTTTTTTATCTGAAAGAAGAAAATGAATGCAGTAGTATGATGAAGAACTCATATTTTAGGTGTGAAGGAATTAATGCTGATGGTGGTATTTGACTTGTTGCATGTCTCCAAGGCTTTGATTTTGTATTTGAGAATAGAATTTTTAAAAATAGGTTATTTAATTTTATGATTATATGATTTATTACATGTGTTTGGCCATATTATCGACATCAGACATTAAAGAAAGTAGGGTTGTTGGCTTGGTCATATTGGGAAACCAATTCTTTCATCTTATTTTTCATTATCAAATGCAAACTTATTATTCATGCTCACAATCATAGCAGATTAGTGAGACAGTTCCAATTGTCAGCTGTCACCTGTAAAAGACATTCATGTAAAAATAGCAGAAATTGTAGAAGAGGAAAAAGGCTAAATAATTCTGACAATGACTGCAGGGAGGACAAAGATGTAAAAATCTGGGGTATCATATGGTGTCAAGATAATGCAAATCATTGGACTTTTAGTTTTGTATTACATTTATTATGTCACAGGTCCCTTGGTTTAAAAAGGCTTCTCACATGATCGCTTCTAACTGACAATGTGTTGCCTTCAGATAAATGCCACCAACCAAGGATTTAAAGCAGCCTTTGTTCAGATTTGTGGGTCTTAAGTACTTTCATCCCTTTGGTTGAGCCCAAGGCACCAAGAGCTCTTAATGTAGGCAATACAATGTGTCTGAGATTAGTGCCCTCAGGCGTATGCCACTTCAGGATGAAAAAGCAAACTGCTTTTCATCCATTGCTTCCTGCTGCCACTGCTCACCTTCTGGCTCTTAACACCTCTGACCCATGACCTTAGCTCATCTGATTGGCTTCCCTTTAGTCTCTTTCCCACCCTTCCAGTAAATCCTCCATACTGACTCTACTTGTACATCTTATCAGAACCAAGACCCATCATGGCATTCCCCTTTCACTGGATTTCTGCATGTAGAAAAAAAGTCAAGCTTCTTAGTGGGGCATTGAAAACCTTCCACAGTGTTCTCTTGACCTGCTTTTTGGATGCCATCTTCTTTTGTTCTGTGTTCTGGCCATGCTGTTGTAGCTAGTGTTTCTGAATATATCCTGCTGTCATCTACTTTTGGGGTCAGGCTCAAGCTTGCATCTCAGACTAACTGATAACCTCTAACCCACCACTGCCATTTCTGACAAAGGAATCCCACGTATCCTCCATCACATGCTCAGAATAACTTTCCCCATGGCGCCCTGCTAGATCCCTGCTATTGGAAGAAATCTGTCTTTTGCCTCTCTTCCGAGTACTTTGGACCTTTCTCAGGAAATTCCTTGACATTTTGCCTTTTTACCAGTTATTACCACTGCCTCTCTTCAATGAGCTAGTGTGTGCCTTTGGGGCATGGTCTGTATCTTAATCATCTTCATATCCTCCATAGTACTTAGCATGGGTTTGAATATTTAATGGCTATTCAGGAAATGTTTGGTAAAAACCTGAAAATACAGCAAGAACATCACATGAGTACCATCCTGGAGATAATATTGCACTTTTTTTTTGTTTTAATAATAGCTTTATTTTTGGCCTTACTCATAAGATCATTTGCCAATGAAGACCATGGTAGATAAAACATTTCTCTCCACTTTATTGAGAATAATCAGTAATATCCATTTATGTTAAATCTGTAATTACTGTAGGAGTCAAAGTCAAATTGGAATAAAAAGTTGGAACTATCACTGTGAATAGAATTTGATGTTACCAAGGGGTAAATATATTTTTGCAGTATGACTGTGTAATATATCTTTTGAGCTCATTGGTCAAGAGCCCTGCCTTGTTTGTGCTTAGCATAGTCTCTCTTCTTACAATTGCAACTGTGTCAAAGAATGTTGGTAAAGAGTACTGATAACTATCATACATCATTTTATCATTTTGAGTGCACTTTTACATATTTTAGGTCATTTAATCTCCTTAAAAACTCAATGGAGAAGAGATTATCGCCTTTCTGTGAATGAGACACAGGTTCAGAGAGGTTCAAACAGCTTGCCCCAGATATCCCAGTCAGCCAGTGGTAGAACTAAACTGAAATCCAGACTTTTCTGACTCTAAATAGGCAACTCTACCTTCAACCAGGTAATAAAGACGAGTAAGTCTCTGTGAATGTCATTTACATAGAATTGCGGCTATTCCCCAGAATGTGCCTTAACTTTTAAGGGACTATCTGTGAGGACTAAGCGTCCCGGAATAAACCTGTTCATCTACTTGTAGTGCAGTGATAACCACTCTACCTTGGAAGATATCCAAAAGCATTCTCCGAAAATGGGATGGATTGTTCTCTAAAAGAACAACAACAACAACAACAACAACAACAAAAAACACCAGGGCTACTTAGAGCTCCAAAATGAGGACTCTGGTGTTGATGCAAATCTTTCTGTAAGTTACCTTGACCTTCAAAAAAAGATCAGGATGAGCTTCCTTCATTTTTCCTTCACTCTGTCCTATTTGACCTCCTACCAAATTCCAAAAAGTCCCTACAGAGCTCCTTCCCTGAAAACAGCCCTTGTGATTTTCTTTGCTCTGCCCTGTCCTGTCTTTGTGCGGTCCTGCACAAGGAGCTTCAGAGCCCTAGATTTGCCTTCAGTACCCTTGGATTCAATGTTGCTTAAGAGACATTTAATTTGCCATTTCCTGTGTTCTTCCTGAGAAAACTCAGAAGTCTTTAGATGCCCTTTCTGTGTGTCTAGCTGTCTGTGTCACAAGTCAGCATTGGGCTATGTAATCTGACAAATACGAGCATACTTTTCTAGAAAATAAGAAAGGTTATTTAAAATTGAGATTGTCCCAAGTCCTTTGGATGTGTACCTACTGTATCTGTTAATATGTAATTTTTTGTGTTCCTTTAGCTATGATTTATCTCCAAATAACAGCCAAAGTGAGAGGCTTGGAGACCCTTATTCCTGACTAAATATTTATTAAATTTCATTAATTGTTCTGATTCATGACACCTCCCTACAACCGCCTAGAAAAACAGAATGTGGCTGTTTTAGAATGTCTCAGAGGTATCTTATCTCTGTCTTTAGAATTCCATTTCTCCTGGTTGTTGCACATAGCATTCAATAAATATTTGTTGAATGCATTAATGAATACATGAATTGTAATGAAGCTGAATTTAATTGTAGCATACACACATGCACTTTTGACTAAAATCCTTTTACAAACCTAATTTCATAGAGAAAAGCCTTTCAAAGGTTTTTTTTTTTTTTCTGCTCACTTTTCAAAATACTTCCCTTTTTCAAACTGCCTTGATTAGCAGCAGGTATGGCTTTGTCATAAACTTAGAATGTCAAGAACCCACTCTCCAAATCCCAGGCACTATATGTATTCTGCATTGGTGTTCTCTGATTCTTGGTATATGCCACAAAGATAAGTCTAAAGCTCTAAGTAAAACGCTAAATCTGACTGAGTTTTTCCCATAGTGCCTCCCAGAAGTTTGGATGATTAATGGCATTATTGAGATATCCAATCTATAATATTTCACCTCTGCATCATATCTCTTCCTCATTACCACATATAATTTGGATTCATCTTTATTTGGTAAAGACCCATTGGATGTTGGGTGTTTGCCCCATTGTGTGTCCTTAGCAAAGTTTACTTTTTCCTCTTGCGTTGATTAAAGCCTTCAGTCTCCTGACTCAAGTCTGTAGTGTTCAAATACAGAGATGTATTTTTCTCTGCACTGTCTAAATAAACCAAGACTTGCTCTGAAATTCAAGGTATAATCCTAGCAATGAAATGGTAGCCTTTCTGAGAGACAAGGACTCACTGTCATTCTGCTACCTGCATAGCAAATTGATTAGATTGTCCCCAAGTCAAAAAGGTGGGTAAATACTAACCTAATTCACTGTAAAGTCTAAAGTTAATTAAAGTTGTTAGTAGATGTTATATAACAGGACGGAACTCTGTAGATTCTCAAGACCTTTCATATGTCTTCTTCTTGGGCATGAATTTGAGTTTTCTCTTGTTCCTTTAAATTCCTCCAGTGATTGTGCAAGATTATTAATGTTATAGTCAAAGAAGTTCTAGATCAGTTACTGATACCACTGAATTAAGGTAGCTGGAAATCATGATCCCATTGCTTTACTTTGTAATTGACTTGATGACTTTGGACCTAGTCTAGTAGTTGTCAATCTTCATAGCTACAGGATATCTTTAGTCAATGTTCTTTCATTAGATCTTTGTATGAGTCTCCAGTGATGGTGAAAAGATAGCTAAAAGTGACGGGAATCTGAAGAGGTTAGGAATGGGCATTCCTCTGGAATATTAAAAAAAAAAGTGTCAGGGTGCGGAATAGCAGAGTTTATTTGGGGGAAACTGCAGTTGTATTACCTTTTTAAAGAAGGCAAAGAATGGGAGGAGATGAGGCTGGCCAGGTCAGGCAATACCCGCTGAGGAGTTGCTCCCTCCATGCTAGTCTAGGGAGCCACTCAAGGGTGTGAGCCAGTAGTGAGACCATCATATTGACACAAATATATGCCACGTGGGCAGCTGTGTGCAGGGTAACCTTGAAAAGAATAATGCTGGAACAAGGAAATCAAGTTTGAGGGAGTTACAAGGGAGCCCAGGAAAGAGATTATTAGAGCCTTAAGTAAGGTGAAAGAAGTGGAGTAGACAGGCTGATTTCAGTGATACATCAGGGGAGGGTAGAGCTGTTTGATTTGGTAGTTCTGTGGGACTACAGTAGGAAGAAATGATTCTCAGGTCTGGTGACCACAAAACTAGATGATAGTAGTTATTTGCAGCTGGGTCTGATAGTTCAGGAGGAGTAGCAGCAGTCTGTCTTTTAACACAGCAGTGTTTATAGAGGTCCTTC